GTTCCATTTTTACAGTTTTATTCAACTTTGTTTCATTTAAAACTTTAGATGTGAATAATTTTCCACATTTGGATCATTTGTTAAAATATTCAGTGTGATATGTTGTAATAAATTAAACAAAACTCTATAAAAGCAGCAAAAACAAGCTGCAACATTACAGCCAATAAATAATATACATGCCTTATATCTAATACATATATATTATATATTGATTTATTATGGGCTAATCTAAATGATAAGCATGTTTTTTTTAACTTGGTGCTGAAACTTCTGTAATTTTAAGAAAAGTTTCCGAAACCACACTGTAGTATACCAAAGTACTTAAAGGTTGAGCGCTGTTATACATTTTTATGTTTGATGATCAAATCACATTTTTAAAAAACATATTAATAAATGAATCTTGTGTTTACTTGTAAAAATAAACGATCAGCCATGTGGTGTATTGTTTCCAATAATTAACAATGAGCAAGTCAATGAAAATCCAAAACTACATTAAATCACTCTTGTGTGGTACATGTTAAGTATTAAAGACTAAACTATTGAATTTTAGCCTGTTTATGTTAACTAAACAATGTGTCTGCTGCTGAGTAGGTGGAGTACTCCTCTGCTGGGAGGGTAAATTTGCACTAATTGTGCAGTTTCTAATAGCAACTGTCAGTCATTAATTCATGGAGTGTACAATCATGTGAAAAAAAATGTTTTCACAGGACTCAGTGCAGTCGTGTCAAAAAAAAAACAACAACTAAGTACACCCTTACTTCTTCCATTGGAATTAAGAGGGTAAGTAGCAGCCAGGTGCTGCTAAACAAATGCACTTGATTAATATTCATCAGGAACTCTGAGCACCTCTATGAAAGCAGAGGTTTGGCAGTGGACATCCCAACAAATTCATTACAAGCCAAAAAACCCCAAAGAACAAGAACTCAGACTCTACAGGCTTCAGTTAGCATGTCAAATGTTAAAGTTCACAATGGAAAAATTAGAAAAAGAGTGAACAGCTGTTGTTTGTTTGGAAGATTTTCTAGGTGAAAGCATCTTCTCTCTAAAATGAATATGGCACAACAGTTTAGATTTCAAAGTTGCATCTGAACAAACCACAAGAATTCTGGGACAATGTCCTTTGGGCAGATGAGACAACATCGGAGATGCTTGGGCAAAATGCAAAGCACCATGTTTGGCAAAAACCAAGCGGAGCAGTGGTTGATGATTTCAGCTTGTATTGCAGTCACATGACCGGGGCATCTTGCAGTAATTGAGTCGACCATGAACTCTTCTGTATACCAAAGTATTCTAGAGTCGATGTGCAGGTGTCTGTCTCACAGCTAAAGACTGACTGAAACTCCCAAGCACAGCATAAAATCTACAACAGGATGGATGAAAAAGAGAGGAATTAAGGGGTTACAATGGCCTGGTTAAAATCCAGACCTCAACCTGACTGACATGCTGTGATGGGACCTGTGTATAAACAAATACCTGCAAACCTCAATGAACTGAAGGAAAGAACAGTGAACCAAAATTCAGACAAACAGAAAGTCACTACTTCAAGTTAATGAAGTTTTACTTCAAGTTATTGTTGTTAAAGTTGGTTCTACGAGTGACTGAATAATGGCGTATGGTTAGTTTTTCACACAACTGCATAAAGTCCTGCGAAACTTTCTTTTACACGACTGTTTTTCCTCCTCACTTGAGTTAATTATCTTCTGCTGCCAGGATCATTTGTTGGTATCAGGTGGGTCGAGTTTCTAATAGTTGCTGTCAATAACACACATACTGCTGGAGGACAGGACCAGAATACAGTCATGAGTGTATTTTGGCCTAAGACCAAAATACGCATATGACTCTATTATGGTCAGTCATGTGTTTGATTGGCAGAAGAAGCCATGCAGATTAAGCTAACATGCACTTTCAGCACAAAAAGCCTAAATCTTCATTAATTTATCATCTTTTCATAGAGAGATTTAACATTACCCTTTAATACTTGCTGTGTCTGCAGTTCTTCATGTTATCGGCTATTACAAAAATGACAAATCAGTTGAAGATCTCCAATTAAACATTTAATATTTTATCATAACGCACAAAAATTTGTTTGTTTATCACCTACAATTCAACCTTGTGGGATCCATAAGTAAGTATGGAAGTGGGTTTATTAATTTAAAGCAGCTTAAAAGTTATTTGAAAATATTTGAAATGTTTTAATCCCCGCTTAGTGTTACACGTGTAAGTCATATGATAGACCAGAACTGATTCAGTTGTTCATATATGTTTGTCTCAGTGAGCCACCATAAATTTTCCTGTCATTCATTCACTGGTGAAACCACAACTGTTCACATACTTCAGGGGTCCTCGTTCTCTCATACAGAGGCTCTGCTGAGCTTGTGACAGCCAGTCATCTCCTGTGTCACTGCCTCTCCACCCTTATATGGACACCCCGGCTCTTTATTTGGGGGTTTCCATGGCATTGGGGTGACGTGGGAGCACATGCCACGTATCGAGGTTCTCACCTTACTGGGTGGTTGCATGAAGGCAGATTGTCCCTGAGTCAGACTGGGCTGCGGGAGCCTCGAGTGGGTGTGTGGCAATAAGTGATTTCTGTAGGCATGCTAAACCTATTCCCCTGACACCTCAGGCACTTAGCCTAAATATAAACTAACAGAGCAGCTACCCCCTGCTGCAGGCCAACCGCTGGCATGTGAAGACTCCAAGAAACGAATCACAAGACCCTGAACTCTCCCCGACACACCCTGTGTGGCTCTGCCAAGTCCAGGGACAGAGTTGGCCGGACTTTTCTCACAGTAATGTACAGTATGAGTAAACCTTTATGACCAAAACCTTTATCCAACATTGAGCTATTGAACTGAGTATTGCTATGGTTGTCACTGGCCCCTTACAGCAGAAATTGTCTGTTTAATGGTTTAAAAAACGATTCTGTGTCATCAGCTGGAGTAATTAAAACCCCTTATTGTAACCATATAATTCATTTTGGTGCTTGATATTACAATATCAATAAAAGTGAAAATGCACTGCTCAATGTCTCCCCTTGTTTCTGTCGGCTGAGGCAAGGGATTGTGCTATGTGGGTGACTCTAAAGGACTTGGAAGAAGTGCAGACATGGTTCACACTGCTGCTTGTTGAAGCTGATGCCAAAAATGAAAGATTTGCTCCTTTATTTCTGTAGGAGTGTTACAGAATAGGTGATAGAGAGGTTGTGTAATGTTGCTGGATTGGGTGTTGAGCACCTTTGGGAAGCATATTGAAGTTTTCATCCAGCCTACCTCCCAGTGCTAAAGCTTTAGCACGACCTCCTGAGGAACACAGTTTACTCTGTGGTGGGCTGTGACCTCTAAGAGTAGATGTAAGCGAGAAAATCATTTCCCCATCAGAGCTTACAGAAATATCACGCTGTTAATTTCACAAAAGCCTTAGAGGGAGACACTGTGTCTTGTTAAGTGCTCACTGGTTGAAGCCGCCACTTCTTCTCTCCAAGACTACATAAAGCATTTGTTGTTATAAGCAGTAGAAGAAGATGGTGTGCAGGTTTCTCTGAATGACGATCAGAATGACTCTCTGAATAAACCTGAGAATGTCTGAAGGACTTCTCTGTGTTAATTATTATTTTCTGCATTAATCACCAAAATTATACACACTATGAAAAATGAGCAACGTGTGTGGGACAAATCATTCAGCTTAGTTACACAAATAGATGATTAAAAGTAAAAGACCTTTAATGAGTATGACTGAATTTATTATATTATATATGTTTGTTCACCATGTTCTCAAATGCATGAATGATCCAAGTACATTTAATATATTGCTTTATCAGAAGTTTTGAGATAAAAAGGAGGCAGGTCTAATAAATAACTTTTCCCTGAAATATTTCAATTCCTGTCTTTCAAAGGGGAATCAGCCACTCCTACTGTTGTGGAGCACTAAATCTTATCTATATGATAAGAAGGCTCATTCAAGTGCAACCAGATGTTATCGGTCACCTTCAGTCAGTCGTACAAATGTTAGGTTTGTGCCTCTAAAGAGGAACTACGTGGATGTGTGTTTGTTTCATGAGATACAGAAGGAAGAAAAACAGGAAACATGAAGTGGTTTCAGTGGGGTTTTAAATCAGGAGACAAAAATCCTTCCAAACAGTGAGACTTTGTTTTTATTTTTTTTTAAATACAGCAAGACCAAAGCTACTGGTGTTTAAACACTGGGCGGTCCAGAGGTGGCTTATCTTTGTTAGAAAAACAACAGTTACAGAAGATTATACAAAAGGCAGCACTTCTGCCATTAGTTCTTCATATCTTACATGATTATCTATTTACAAATCAGGCTTAGAGCTACTGAACTGATGTTATACATTTACTCAGATTTCTATATTTACAAGTTTATACACAAATCTGCTGTTAGACCCGTTCTGCTGTAAAGAGAGAGAGAGAGAAAAGCAAAGTTAGCCACACTGAATCAAATGATTTTACTGATCTGTCAGTGAAAATGTCCAAGATTAGATTTTTGTTATTTACCTATAAGCTGTTTAGAAGGGAGTTGTTAATGGTTTCATACACTTTGTTGTAAATCTCTTCCTTTGAAGTCATCCCATCAAGGTACTCTGTGCAGAAATGAA